AAAAAGCAGGGTATACGGGGTAAAAATGGGAGTTCATAACCCACTTGAATCAAATGTATGAAATATGATATGTCAAGAACTATGTAATGTTTTGAACAACTAATAATAAAAATTTTTAAAAAAGCAAAAAAAAATTTAAAAGAAAGCAGGGTAAGGGAATGGAGAATTTTGAATAGAGGGTATAATTTTCAATAGAGTGGCAGTGGAACGCCTCATGGCCTCATGAAAAAGGTAGTTTCTGATAAAGCCTGGAAAGAGTTCAGGGAGCATAAACCGTGGCTCTGAGGCAAAATTGTGTTTGGCAATCTGCCCCCCAACACAAATGCTCTAATCCAGTAGTCAACAAATTAAGCGCTGTAGCTTTAAGAACCATGATACCTCTATCTTTATTTTTCAACTGGTGACAGCTCTGGAGAGCAACTGGTTTTCTCCTATCTATGGAAGAATGCTGCAAACTCTCAAGCAATGGGATGAGTACAGGGGAGCAGCATCTCACCTCACCCAAGAGGTTTCCCAAGATCTCTTTCCTCCCCCTCTCAACCGTCACCCACCCACCCCCAAGCTTTTTTTTTTTTTTTTTTTTTTCTTAAAAAATTGGAGACCTTGCCTCCCTGGTCTCGAAATTGACATTCTCATGCCTCAGATTTACTGGCATTGCAGGTGTGTGCCACCGCCCCTGGCTCTCTTGCATACTTAAAACCATAGATCTTCTAATATTTAACACAACGTAAAGGCTTATATGAATAGTTGTCACGCTGCATTGCTCAGGGAACAATGACACTTAGGAAATCACGACAAGAAAAATGTCTGTAGCACTCAGTACAGGACATTTCCCCTTTCCCCCAGATATTTTCTATCCTCGGTGGGTTGAATCCTTGGACGTGGAAGCCACAGAGAAGAAGGCTGATTGCACTCATTAGACCTGGGGTGCCCCACCGAGCAGCCGAGAGCACTTGAAATGTGGCTGGTACAAACTGGATGTGCTTGAAACACACACTAGATTTCAAAGACTTCGTGCAAAATTGGAAAATATCTCACTAACAATTTTACAGTATTGCTTACATGGCGAAATGATATTCAGGCTAGGTTGGGTTGTCGAAGCTGTCTCACTAAAATTAATTTCGCCTTTTTTTCCTCTTTTCGATTTAAAAAAATGCAGGTTTTATATGATAAATTATTGTGTAGTGGTGCATTAAGAATTGTAATGCAAAATAAATAAATTTTAAAAAATAAAATGCAACCTAAAAAAAAAAAAAAGCAGGTTTTATGAAATTTCTAATTCGGTACGTGACTGGCATCCTGTTTCAACTGGACAGCTCTGTGGTTAGGTCTTCCCCTGGACTGCGGGCTCCTGGTTGGGAGGGACCCCAACTGCATCCTTGAAGCAGTGCCAAACAGGAGGCTCGCCCCCGACACTGCAGCGGGAACACGGGCTACGAAGGCGGTAGGGTCCTGCGAGAAAGTCCCACAGGACGTGGTCCGGTTGCCAGGGCAGCACAGCACATCAGGGAAGCGCCCAGGGAGAGGGGAGCGCAGACTCAGAGTCCACTCCGCCGCCTCCCACCCCCCACCCGCCCGTGGCCCCGCCTCTTTGCGGCAGAGCTCAGGCC